AAGTAAAAGCCGCAATGTGTTTACAAGTCACGAGGCATAGACTCGGTTGCATATTTGTTTTCTCGAAATTCATACAAAACCAAAAAATTGTTTTTAATATAAATTAAGCATCTTCTGATTACTAAATCACTTGCCCGTGGAAGGAAACGTCCCTGTTCACCCGTTTACCCACAGTTATGGTACTTTTGCAGTTTATAATGGCACAATTATGCATTTTTCGCGTTTTCGACTGGTGTTTATTTACGATAACGGTCGAGCGCGGTCTGAAGTGTAGCAGCGGCAAGTAAGTTTATTGCACTTACTTTGGGCACGCGAAGTACGTACACTTGCGGCGTCTATCTAGATATATGTCTGTGGTCTAATTCTTATTTCAATGCTAATGTACCTGTTGTCATGAAGGACATCAACACATTATGTATATTGATGACATGAAAGTGAATTAAAAATGTAACTTCATTGAATAAATGATGTAAAATGCGTTATTGCAGCTCCTATTGCATACAAAATAAAGTTGAAATAATGTACCAAATAAAGTTAACTTCTTTTATCAAGGAGTTTTGAGACAAGCAGAATATTGTAAAATATTTAATTTGTTTAAAAAAGTCGCGGCTACGTCTCGAGCACTCATCAGTATACAAGCAGCATCTGATTAACCTATCTGGCATCTAGCTCGCATGCGATCGGCCATTGTCACCAGCTCTCTCTTTCTCCACTGTTCGACTAGAAAACACGTTTTTTCGCAAATGTTTTTGTTCAACCACTAGTTATTATTTATTATATTGCTGTGTTGTCTTGCTACTTATTGCTTACATTGTTTACATAGATGAGTAAACAAGAGAACTTGTTTGTTGCAGGAAATTTTAAAGGTATTTGTGCCTTGTTAGCGTGCTGTGAGCTCGTTTGATGAACTGGTACTTTCATTTTGCAATTGTATATGTACAAACACTTGCAGTAAGGGGTAAGGAGGTTATTGGCTTAGGGGCCACTTATTCATGAAAATTAACAACGAGAAACGGCTATAGTGAGCAATGATTATTTTGTCTGGGTCAGTTTATCATTAATTATGGTAGTGCACAGAAAACAATTGCCGCTTATATATATTATAGCCTTATATGGGCTTTATGAAAAATCTAATGTTACCAAATATCATAAAACCCCGATCGTTAATGGACATCATTCAAATATGTTAACTCGACACTTTCTAACATTACCCCATTCGTTGTAGTCGGTAAAAGTGGTCGACAACACATTTAATGTAAGGAAATAGCACAACTAATAATGAAGCGCCATTAATCGGCGCAGGCCTTCGGCCTTGTAGTGTCAGTTGGTTTCTATCCATAATTCAGAAGAGCGTGGAAAAAAGTGAGAGCTAGACAAAAGCCGTGAAAAAGTACGACAGCCACTGTAATTACAAAAGGTACT